GTTGCCATCACCAGTGTAATTTGATAGGAATGATTTTTGAGAATAAGGTTATTTTTTATTTATTAATATATTACAAGTATAATATATTAATATTATTTAATTAGAATTGGTCAAGAATTAATTTGGAATTAATTTTGTGATCAAAAGAGACTAATTAAATATATGGGGATTGATTATGTAAATCAATGATTCTTGTAATGTGGACTAATGATCCATGACTATATGGTTGGGCTAAACCAATAAGATAATCCATGGATAGTCCATGGAGGTTAACCCCATGGAGCATAATAATGTGAAAAGTCATGGAGCATTAGGGTTTACAAAGTGTAACCCTAGTGTTTGCCACATTATAAATAGTGCCCCCCATATGCCAAAATCGGTTACACACTCTTTGGAGTCAAGTATCTTATTCTCCTAAAACCTCCTCTTGCATTTTGGTGTTTGTGAACCAATAGAGGCATCACACTTGAGGTGCTCAAGCTTTCAAAGGTCAAGAACTCTACCCTAGTCAAGAGGTAAGCATCCAAACTAAGTTTTATATTATATAGCTTCAATTGTATGCTAGTTAGGGAGAATGCTTTGGAAAAAGAAAATGCATGTATAACTAGAGAAAACATAGATCCAAAGCAATTAGGGTTGCATGTGCACCATAGGAGTGTTATAGTGCTCAAAACCCAACAGTGGTATCAGAGCCTAGGATTGTTTTCTATTATATTTGATGCTTATTAGTTTTTCAAACCTGAAAAAGTCGAAATTTTTGCCTCTGACTGGTGAACTCGCCGAGTACATGAACAGACTCGACGAGTCCACTCAGTAACAGAGCAACTCGGCGAGTCCAGTTCATGTACTCGACGAGTTGAAGACTCTGTGTGCAAAATTTCGAGTTTCTTGGCCTGGTTTGGATTTGGAACACTACCACAAACTGTTTTGGATCATTGGAAGTGTTTTTTTATGATATGGTAGTGCTTGTACTCATCCAAACACAAGATAATTGTCAAAGTTTTAATATAATTGTTGTTTTTTATATGATAAACAAAATTGCTTTCAAATTGTTGACTTGAAAAATTATCTTGCCTATGAGTTTAGTTAGATCATGAATTATGTGATAATTTAGTTGTTAGAAAAATGATCTAAATGATGTTTAATGACCTCCATAACTTGTCCTCAAGTTATGGAAAATGAAAGGTCTCATACATTAAAATCCTATTAAACTCAAAGTTATGAATGTGAAGAGTTTTGACAAGTTTTAAAACTTGCCCTCAAGTTTTGGAATTTGTAGTCTCACTAATGAAACTTTAATTCCAAACCCTAGAGTTTTAAAAGTTCAAATTCAACCCTTACACTTTATAATATTATAAGTTTTATATATATATATATAATATATATATATATATATATATATATATATAAGACAAATTCGGTCTTACTGTTAGTAGGCATCATTCACGAAGCCGGTCTATAAGGGGGTATAAGGTTACTGCCTATAAAATGGTAGTTTAATGGGTGTCTACTCTCACCCACCGCTTCCTTGACTGGTGGAGGGTCGTTAGCCGAACGGGTAGGATAGGACATTAGTTCTCCTTCATTAAAAAGTATAATGATAAATATAAAGTAACTAAACTTTTAATAAATTCCCGATCTTAGTTACTTTAGGAAAAATGTGAAATGGTGCTAATCCATGAAATTACACTTTGCACCTTGTTAAGTCGTTACTCGAGCGTGTGTGGCTAACCGGCACACTAATCTGGGACTGACAACGTGTGGCAAAGGGTAACTTGGTGTTAATCATAGATCAATGGAGCGTGTGTGGTAAACCGACACATTGATTAGGTGATTTGTAACATTGGGTGTACCAAGGTAATTTGCATGGTTATTCACTCCTTGTTTGTGATCCTTGGCATCCCAGTCACAAACGTGAAGGGCACAGTCGAGATTTTAACATGCCACTGAAAAGTTCAATGAATCTCAAAGATCTAGGAATTTCAAATCAATTAAAACTTAATAATCTATTTCGTTTTTCATGGTGGAAATTGGTAAATCGTCATTTACCTACCTTCTTTTAACATTGGATTACGACATCCCTCTTCGCAATTGTAGAATATTGTGTTGGGTCCTAGCCTTAATATTTCATATTGGGTGTAATATTAAGGATTATCATCTAATCTAAACTTTGTTCTTCTTCTTTTCAAATGTCTATCCCAAACAATGCTTCGAACCCTTCAGGCTCTTTCTCCCTCTTGAACCTATGTGGGAGGGTCATTTTCGATGGCTCGAACTTCAATGACTTGATTCGAAACATCAGGATGGCTATTCGCTATGAGGACAAAGAATATATCCTTGATAAAGAGCTTAAGGAGATTGATGTCACCACTGCTACTCCTGAACAAATCGTTGAACACACTACTCATGAGAGGGATGCGACAAAGGTGTCGTGTCTTATGATTGCAACCATGACTGCTGAGCTGCAGAAGTCCTATGAGGACTACAACCCTTATGAAATGTATCATGATTTGATGGAGATATACCATGAAAGTGCTCCGCAGGAGAGGTATGAGATCATTGCCTCCATGATCACAACCAAAATGAAGGATGGTGAACCCATCACGGCCCACTTGCGGAAGATGCAGTGATTCGTGGACCGCTTGCTTAAATTAAATGTTAATTTTGATGAAGAGTTGGCCATAGATATTATTCTACACTCTTTACCTTCTTCTTATGATCAGTTTCGTATGACTTATTATGAACAAGGATGATGTCACTCTTAGCAAGCTTCAAGGCCTTCTTAGGACTGCAGAAAGCAACCTGAAAGGCAAATCGGTTGTGTCTACTCCTACTACTACTTCTGCCCCTGTTCTGGTAATCAGACATGGGAAGGGAAAGAATAGGAAGGCTTCCTACAAGATCCGCAAGGGGAAGTCTCTTGATGGATCCTCTTCAAGTGGGACCAAAGTTGGTTCTGTTAATCCCTCTTCCAATCCGAAGGAAGCAGAGTGCTTCCACTGTCATGATAAATGGCACCGGAAATGAAACTGCCCCAAGTACTTGCAGGACATTAAGAATGGGAAGATCAAACCCTCATTTGCAGGTATTTACACTACTCAATCTAATAACTCATAACATGCTAGTTCTTGGGTCCTTGATACAGGTTGTGGTATTCACATTTGTTCTGATTTACAGGGACTAAAAAGAAGTAGGGATGTGGAGCACGGGAAGATAAACTTAATCATGGGAAATAGGAAAGTGTCGCTTGTGACCAAGATTGGAGTTTATTCTATATTGCTTTGTAATGGTTTGAATTTAGATTTGAATAATTGTTGTTACTCTGCCGATATGGAGAGAAATGTTATTTCCTTTCACATTTTGTATAAACAAGGTTTTACCTTTTCCTTTAATAATGAAAATGGTGGTATTTATGCTTATTGTAATGGTGTATTTTATTTTGAAGCATTACCTTGTAGTGGTATATATGAAATTGTGATGGTTGTAGATAACGTAGGAAATAATGTGCTGAATATTGATTCTTCCAATGAATTGGATAAGGCATGCTTGTGGCATTGTCATCTTGGACATGTCAACAAGAAGCGCATAGCCCAACTCCAAAAGGATGGAGTTTTGGAGTCATTCGACTTAAATTCAGATGACACTTGCGAATCTTGTTTACTTGGAAAGATGACCACGTCACCCTTCACTGGTACTTGTGAAAGGGGTGAAGGTCTGTTGGATCTCATACACACAGATGTGTGTGGACCGTTCAGAACCGCCACAAGGGATGCTAACCGCTTCTATGTGACTTTTACTAATGATTATAGTAGATATGGGTATATTTACTTAATCAAGCATAAGTCAGAAACTTTTGAAAAGTTCAAAGAGTTTAAGCAAGAAGTGGAGAATCAATTGGGCAGGAAGATAAAGATGCTACGATCCGATCGTGGAGGAGAGTATCTTAGTATCGAGTTCCTTGACTATCTTAAGGAATGTGGAATTGTTTCACAATTGACGCCACCTAGGACACAACAGCTTAATGGTGTGGCTGAGAGGCACAATAGAACCATGCTAGACATGGTTTGTTCCATGATGAGTCGAGCTTCGTTACCTATCTCATTCTGGGGGTATGCCTTAGAGACTGTCGCCCATATCCTTAATCTAGTCCCTACCAAAAAGGTTTCCAAAACACCACACGAGATGTGGACAGGGAAAGTTCCCACATTAGACCACATCAAAGTTTGGGGTTGCGAGGCTTTTGTGAGAAAAGAAACTCACGACAAGCTCGAACCTTGGAGTGAGCGATGTATTTTCGTCGGCTACCCACAAAAATCCTTTGGATATCTCTTGTACAGACCGAGTGACAATGTTGTCTTCGTTGCGAGGAGAGGAGTTGTAACATCCCAATTTTCAAGGCCAAAAATTTCGTTTTTAATTAAGTAACTTATAAAATAGTTTACCAAAAACATTGCCAATGTCATATCCCCTGTTCTAATAAAACAGTAACTTTATGCCAGGTGGCATTTTCTCAGCCCTTCTTAATGCTTTTTTCCCGCTCAAATTTACAAAGTGAAATTATGATTTTACCCCTCTGCTCCTTTACACTCTGGTGGCATAAAATCCCGTCCAAATAATCACGGATTTTTGATGATTCAATTTCAAATCCTGAGTAACTGATATCCCAAATAATCAGGGATTTTGTTATCTTTCTAAATTCCATTTGAGAACGATGTACCAGACAAGAAATACGTAATCTTCTTCAAATTTGAAACCCATTGGCTAGGGCTTCAAGCTGCATATACCTGATGCATACTCGCTATGTATTTCACATACATCTCAATCGAAACCATCTCCCTCACCTTCGTCTCTCTCATCCCAATATACTCCTCCAGTTCTCAAATCTTTGGAAGTGTTCCTGTCACTAACACTCTATTTTGCCCTAACCACTTCATACATAAACTCTAGCAAGCAGCAACAACACTAATCCTCTTCTTGATTACGAAAATGAGAGCTCCAATATGAGGAGGTATGTTTCTCCCTGTAACGCCGACAATCATTTTATTTTCTTTATTGGTGTCAACAATCGTTCCTATCACGTCGAACCAGCGGCCGGTTGAATTCGATTAAGGAACTGATTCCCTTATCAAAACCGCCGGAAATTAACATTGCTGCTGTTCCCGGAGACGATGATGTCGTTGGTGAACAGAACGTCGGCGGGAATAATGGAAGAGGTTCGTGGTCTAATATGTTGCCGTAGCTCTTAGGCGGGATAATCAAATGAATGGAAATGAGCGATTACCGGTGGCCGCTCCGTCGAAATCTTGTTGCTTGTGGACGTGTTTGTAAAAGTTGGAGAGAAGTTACGAGAGAGATCATAAAGCCTCCTGTTCACAACGGGAATATCACATTCCTTTCTTTTCTTAAGCAGGTACGATTTGGTTGTATATTATCTGATTTTATTTGTTTCAAGCTATATTCCTTGATTTTTATGTCGTTGATTCCACAGAGACTTGAATCAATGAACTAAATGTAGTAAGTTAGTTTGTTTTTTTCAATTTTTTTGTTAAATTGATTTAGATTCTTATGTTTAGCCAGATGAATGATTATCTGGTTTGTTATGGAGAAGCTTTTGATTAGCTCACACAACTGAAAGCAAGAAGCAGAAGTCAAAACTCCATAAAGTCTATTCTATTGTGATAATGATTAGGAACAGTTTGATAGATGCTCGCCTCTGGTCATGGTTGCCAATTTTGACTAGGTCTTATTTTGAAGTATTCTCCAGTAACCACATCGTTCATTATAATATTGTTTACTTCGAATTCACATGGTAAATTAGGAAATATATGCCTAATGATGCTTCGTATATAATTTCTACAAATTGTTACCTTCTAAGTTTCCATTGTTCACTTATTACGCTATAATGGATCTTTGAAATTTATCAATGTTGTTAATGGATGAACATGCTTGATTTATCTAAGAAATTTTCATGTCTTTGCATCCTGGTTCACGTGATTCTCCAATTCAATGCATGATTAAAAGAAGCAAGAAGAACTCAGTGTTTTACCTCAATCTTGCTGCTACTCCATGTAAGCATCATGGATAGCCTTAATCACTTTGTGAATCATGTATTATACAACCAGACATACCAAAAAATGATATTTCTGGTAACTTGTAGTTGAAGTATTAATCATTTGGATTCCATTTTTGAAGCATTTACAAACAAGGGTAAGTTTCTTTTAGCTGCAAGAAGATATACACATGGTGCTCACATGGAATACATAATATCACTTGATTCATACGATTCATATCAACGAAGCAATGCTTATGTTGGTAAATTAAGGTAAGTGACTATTTCTTTTTTGTACTTAATGAGCTTAATGGTTTAAGCACTTAATCTATACACCTATGCATTGATGCTTCTTTATGACTTAATATGGACATAATGACTATTTTACCCTTCACATGTCAGATTTTCTTGGCACAAACTTCACAATATATGACAGCTAACCACCACACAATGGTGCAAAACACTTAAGTAGCAAATTCGTGAGGCGAATTGCAAGCAAACAAATAAGCCCACAAGTTCCATCAAGAAACTTTGAAATTGGAGAAACTTCATACAAATTCAATCTTTTGAAATCAAGGGGTCCAAGAAGAATGGTGTGTTCTTTAACATCCACATCCACATCACAAGATCAACAGTTTGACTCTGGTCAAACTCAAAACCCTTTTGAGAAACAAAACTCCAAGGTGGCATGAACATTTGCAGTGTTGGTGCTTGAATTTCCTTGGGTGGGTGACAGTTGCATCCGTTAAGAATTTTCAGTTGGTGGCAACATTGGACCCGAGTCAACCGGGTGGGAAAGGTGATGGTGAAACAGTTTTGCTTCAGTTTGAAAAAGTTGGTGATGATATTTTCACCATGGATTATGTATGGATTATAACTATAAATAAATAGTTCAAAGTTTTCAAATTATAATGTTTTAATAAAAAAATTTATAGAATAAAATAACTGTTTGCATATAGTTTTTTTTCATATATTTGAGTAGTCATTATGATTCTGAATTACAAAGTGTTCTTTTTGTTTTTTTTTTCTTTTTTCTTTCTAATCTGTGGTTTCCACGGGTTTTAAACCTAGTTAGTTTATAAAACCGTAACAACGTGTCTCAAAACCATATCATCAATAGTAATAAAAATCAGAGTACAATCCCAGAAAACTCAGTGCGGAAATCATGTGTGTGTGTGATGCGCTGCTACACCGCCGACTCCTTCCCCTTGGATGAAGAGGTACTTGAAACCAAAACTGAAACTGTAAGCACAAATCTTAGTGAGTTCCCCTTTCATACCACATACTAAAGATCATACATATTGCCGAGCAGTTCTGGGGCGCCTGACCTACCCATGTCAAGCCATTCTAGGGTGCTGACCTACCCATGTCAAGCCGTTCTGGGGTGCTGACCTACCCATGTGAGGACATTCTGGGGTGCCGACCTACCCTCCAGTTTGTCTCAACCAGACACGAGGACTATTTCACCCCTACCACTAGCATATAATATCATATCATAATCATGCTGTCAGACATAGCTGGTTTGTCCGACCTATCTTTCGGTCCTAGCGACCGAATCGGGGGACTAGTCCCCTCCTACCAATACTATCACATATAGCACATCATGCTGACATATAAACATATCAGGCGATAACAAACCAGACACTTATCACGAAGACAATCGTCTCACTAAACAACTATTAGTGGGACGGCATTGGTGCCTTAGACCCACTTCTACTGGAAGGTCACTCACCTCAATGTCGCGTAGTGTCTGCACTGATCTCGGTGTGGAAATCGACTCTCCCCGACTCCTCAATCCCTACACGACAACTCTTCTAAGTTATCAACTCATACTCGTAACCCTTACAAGGGTCACTCAATCCAAGGCAAAGTCAAAGTCAAAACCATGGTCAAAGTCAACTTTTGGTCAAAGTCAACATCTGGTTGACTCGACTCGCCGAGTTGGCCCGTCAACTCGTCGAGTCCCCATATCCACAAAATGCCATAATCCCGTCCCTACTCATCGAGTCTAGCAAGAGCTCGACGAGTTCGCCTTCAACAACACATCGGACAATCTTCAACCGACTCACTGAGTTCGTCCTTGAACTCGCCGAGTTCATCTTCATCCATAAGAAGATGTTTAGTCTATGACTCGCCGAGTTCCCTTTGAACTCGCTGAGTCCGTCTTCATGTGGCTGGGACATTGCCTTGAACTCGCCAAGTCTGTTTATACACTCGACGAGTCCCATGGTTTCCATGTCTATAATCACGTCCATCTTTGTTGAGCCCTCTTCTAGACTCAACCAGGTTCCTTGAAAACAGCAAAGGCCGAGGAACCATTACCAGACTCGCCGAGTCCCAAGAACAACTCGTTGAGTCCACTAAGTCCATGTTTCATAAACTCGATTTTTGTTGAGCTTATCTCATCCAAAGGGTAGATTTGACCTCTTAGGGTCGATATAACACGTAAAGTCACGAACTTTATGTCCATGCATGGGTCTTTAAGCTCAAAAAGGACCAAAAATGAGATCTACAAGATGCATGGGGCTCTCATGGCCATAAAGTTGGCACCTTTATGCCATGAGAACCCTCCAAAGTCCAAGATCTGAAGCCATATCTCCACATTACACCCCACAACCCGAAAATGGCTTAGAAATGCCCTAAAGATACCAAACTCCAAGCCTTAAGTTGATTAAACACATGGAAAGTCAAGATTGAAGCTTTTTACCTTAAATGAGCTGGAAATGGAACACAATCTCTGGATCTTCTAGCTTCAACTTGAACTCCCAAGCTCCTTTCTTCTTCTCAAGCTTCACAACCACCAAAAATGCACAAAAATGGCTTAAGAGCACTCAAACAAGGCTAGGGTTTCAGTTTGAGGTCTTCTGGAAGTGTGAGGGACGATGGAGGCTGATATGGGAGGAGATTAGTTGTTTAGATAGGGTGCAAACCCTAAATATTAGGGTTTTGTCCAGACAGCTCCTACTCGTCGAGTCGGTCTTCCGACTCGTTGAGTAGGTCACTTAAACCCTCGATCAAAAGTCGAGTCTACTCGACGAGTTGGGCCTCCAACTTGCCGAGTCCCAGAGTAAATTGCAACATTTCTTGAATTTAAATACATACCAGGAATTGGGTGTTACAAATCTCCCCAACTTATTTTAGACTTCGTCCTCGAAGTCTGCTGCTGAATCTTTCAAAAAGCTCGGGGTAGTGCGCCCTCATCTCGTCCTCCGGCTCCCAGGTCCATTCCGAGCCCTTGCGGTGCTGCCACTGCACCTTTACCAGCTCCACTCTCTTGTTCCTCAGATCCTTCGACTTCCTGTCAAGGATCGCCACTGGCCGCTCGATGTAGTTCAGTCTGTCATCCACCTGAATATCCTCTAAAGGTACCACTGCCGAAACGTCCACCAGAAACTTCCGCAACTGGGATACATGAAAAGTGTTATGAATCTGACTGAGTTCGGCTGGCAGGTCCAGCCTATATGCCACCTTGCCCACCCGGGATACAACCCTAAAAGGTCCAATATACCTGGGGCCCAGCTTGCCCCTCTTCCTGAATCGAATGACGCCCTTCCAAGGCGACACTTTCTGGAGTACCATATCCCCGACCTGGAACTCCAGGTCTGATCGACGCTTATTGGCATAACTTTTCTTCCGACTCTGAGCAGTCTAAATCCTGTTCCGAACCTGCTGGATCCTCTCTGTAGTCTTGAGTACCACTTCGGTACTCCCCATGACCCTCTGACCAACCTCACCCCAGCATATCGGGGTCCTGCACTTCCTCCCATACAACATCTCGAAAGGAGGACAGTCAATACTCGCATGATAGCTGTTATTATAGGAGAACTCAGCCAAAGGAAGGTAAGTATCCCAACTACCTTGGAAGTCTAAAACACATGCCCGCAGCATGTCCTCCAGAGTCTGGATGGTCCACTCACTCTGACCATCCATCTGCGGGTGAAAAGCAGTGCTGAAGTGCAGACGAGTACCCAACTCGTCGTGAAACTTCTTCCAGAATCTGGAAGTGAACCGCACATCCATGTCGGAAATCACTGAGACTGGCACCCGTGCCGCACCACTACCTCCCAAATATAGATGTCGGCCAACTTTTCGGCCGAAATGCTCTCCTGAATCGGAATAAAATGGGCGCTCTTGGTCAATCGATCAACGATGACCCAAATCAAATCCACTCCTCGCGCAGTCTTGGGAAGCTTCATGATAAAATCCATAGTGATATCCTCCCATTTCCACAACGGGACCTCCAATGGCTGCGTCTTGCCATGCGGCCTCTGGTGCTCGGCATTGACCTTCCTGCAGGTCAGGCATCTCTCAACAAACCAGGCTACATCCCTCTTCATGTAGGGCCACCAATAATCAAGACAAAGATCCATGTACATCTTCGTCGCCCCGGGATGAATAGAAAACATGGATTTGTGCGCCTCCTCCATCAATACCTGGCGTACACCCCCATGATATGGGACCCACACTCTACGGTGTAGCGTTAACAATCCACGGCTGTCATAATCAAAGGAGGAAACCTGACCCACAATACGCTCACTCTTACGATGTTCCTCCTTCATGGCCTCCTATTGGGCATCTCGAATCCGCTCCAACAGCGGAGTTACAACCGTCATCCTCATACAGATATCCCTGATCGACGCTGCCTTACGGCTAAGCGCGTCGGCCACGACATTGGCCTTCCCCGGGTGGTAGAGGATCTCGCAATCATAATCCTTTACAACATCGAGCCACCGACGCTGCCTCATATTCAGATTTGGCTTATCCATGAGATACCTCAGGCTCTTGTGGTCCGTGTAAATGGTACAACGAACCCCATAGAGGTAATGACGCAAAATCTTGAGGGCGAAAACAATAGCCCCCAGCTCCAAATCATGCGTCGGATAGTTCGCCTCGTGAGGCTTCAGCTGCCTCGAAGCGTAAGCGATAACATGCCCTCTCTGCATCAATACCATGCCCAAACCCGAGATGGACGCATCGCAATATACTACAAAATCCTCCATGCCCTTCGGCAGGGCTAATATTGGCGTCTCGCACAATCTCTGTCTCAACGTCTCAAATACGGCCTGCTGCTCAGGCCCCCAGCGAAAGACCAAGACTTTCCTCGTTAACCGGGTCAGGGGCACGACTATCTTGGAGAAGTCCTGAATGAATCTCCGATAATAGCCTGCCAGTCCCAGAAAGCTCCAAATCTCAGATGGAGACCTCGGAACCTCCCACCTCATCACGACCTCCACCTTGCCGGGTCAACCGAAATCCCGTTCTGGTTGACAAGGTCCCCAAGAAACTGCACCTCGCGCAACCAGAACTCGCACTTGGAGAACTTAGCATACAAGCTCTCCCTCCTCAATGTATCCAGAACCTCCTGCAAGTGCTCCTCATGCTGCTCCTGCGTCTTGGAATAAATCAAGATGTCATCGATGAAAACTATCACAGACCGATCCAACATTGGTCTGCACACACGGTTCATGAGATCCATGAACGCGGCAGGAGCATTGGTGACCCCGAAAGGCATCACCACGAACTCATAGTGACCATAACGCGTACGAAAAGCACTCTTCTGCACATCCTCCTCTCTGACCCTCATCTGATGATAACCTGAACGCAAGTTAATCTTGGAGAACCAAGATGCTCCCTGTAGCTAGTCAAAGAGGTCATCAATCATCGGGAGTGGGTAACGATTCTTCACCGTTACCTTATTCAGCTCCCGATAATCTATACACATCCGATGCGACCCATCCTTCTTCTTCACAAATAAAATCGGGGCTCCCCAGCGTGAACTGCTCGGTCTAATGAATCCCTTGTCTAACAGCTCCTACAGTTGTGTAAACAACTCCTGCATCTCAGGAGGAGCCAACCGATACGGTGCCTTGGCTATTGGAGCCGCACCAGGA